ATCATATTTCCATAAGGATGTACAATTTTATCACTAAATTAATGTCATTTTTAAAAACCAAGGAGAGGGAGTGGTCACGGTGAAACATTCAATCATTTGGTATCTCTGGAAAGCCCTGAATGTGCTCTGTACAGGACATCCAGACTTACAACTGTGACATGTGAGGTCTCGGAGAAATTCACTAAAATATAATGTCCACTACAGAGGCAAAAACTCCATAGCTGGGTCTCAGGAGGATATATAGCACGCAAATTGTCTGCGAGCTGATTTCCAGCTACAAGGAGAAAAAGAAAAACAGAAGGCAGGAGGGAGCTGCAGGGAACAGGGATTGGGTGTTCTGCAAAGAGAGTTGGAGGTAAATAATTTTGCAGTAACTGTTATGCTAATGTTGTGGCTGGTCAAGCAAATGTTTGTGCTTGTTTCTGTATAACGTTAATTGTTCATATATCTATTAAAATACTGATATTCTGGTCTATAACTCCTCCCCGAACTTCCCTCTGCCCTGTATCTTGGTCTCTCATTGGCTGTAGGTCATCGCTGATGTGTTTTTCAGTCAGAAATCATTGCACACTGCGTGATTGTGAATCACCGACAGCTCCAGATATTTAGCATGCCAAATATTTCACAGGCATCGGCGATTCCCTCAATCGCGTCTTTGATAATTCACACTGCGTGATTGTCACTCGCGTGAACAAGCACCGATTTTCCTCCGATTTCGGGCATTTGTCGGCGATTTCGCAAAGCCTGTCGGCGAATGAAAAATCGGGCTAAAATCGTGCAGTGTGAACTCGGCATTAAGGCAGGCGTACACGGTGCGATTCTGAAGGTCGGAACGTCGTGAGCTCTGGCACATGTCACGATTGAGTTTATCCGAAAATCGTACGGAGGCAGTCACAAACGACACAAATTTACTACGATTTTACAAACTCTGACGTAAGCATTACGTACGTTTCACGCCATTCATAAAAATATGGATTCTGAGGACGAAATAGTTTTCTTTGTGGGACGTGGCTTGTGACGTCCAAAAATAAATAAAAAAACAAGACAAAGGACATGGCAAAGAGAATGGCTGAAAAGCAGAGAAAACCATGGACTTTCTGTTCTTCATAAAGAACTCGAGGGAGTAGGCCATTTCTGAATTTCTGCTCGTTTTGCCGGAAATACAACAGGCATATTCATTCATAAAGCTGAACGGCAAATTTGGCACATTCGGGATAACAAATACAAAATAGAACTGTATAATTAAACTAAAATGATTATAGACTATATGGTTTTTGTCATCTTCTGATTGGTCAACTTCAGATGTATTGCCAAATCGTCTCGTTCAACCGTACATACGAATTTAAACTGACAGCATCCGATTTTTTTTGACATGTTTGAAAATTATCGGGAGGTGCTCGTAACGTCTCAGATCGGCCCATAATTCTTCTCACACGTTTAATGGTTAGTTAAACTGTAGATTTAAAAGTTTTAGAGGTATTCATAAAGCTAAATCTAAAACTTTAAGGAGCATATGGGAATGCTAGGAAACTTTTAGAAAAAGAAAGATATTGTTTAAGAGTGGTTAAGTAAATGAGTAAATAAAAATAAATTTAACACTACAGTATTATGAGTAGTGTAGGTAGTGTGTGTGTAAAAAAAAATTAAGTGTAAAATAAGTAAATTACTAAATTATGTAACTATACAGTACTATGAACAGAAATGGAAAAAAATTTGATTAAAACTAAATATTTAAAAATTTGCCTTTCAGATTTTAGAATGGGGTTCCTTGCATGAAGATGGTCATATTTGTGGCTTCGCTGCATATAAACCTGAAGAAAAAAAACCAGAGTCCTATATCATATAGTCGATTTCCTAACTGTTTACAAAACGTGTGGAAAATAATTAGGCAAGAAATGTGCCATGCATTTAGAACTTGAGTGAGAACACTGAACACACTGTAAATAATCATTATGAATGAATGTGATTGTCACTCGCGTGAACAAGCACCGATTTTCCTCCGATTTCGGGCATTTGTCGGCGATTTCGCAAAGCCTGTCGGCGAATGAAAAATCGGGCTAAAATCGTGCAGTGTGAACTCGGCATTAAGGCAGGCGTACACGGTGCGATTCTGAAGGTCGGAACGTCGTGAGCTCTGGCACATGTCACGATTGAGTTTATCCGAAAATCGTACGGAGGCAGTCACAAACGACACAAATTTACTACGATTTTACAAACTCTGACGTAAGCATTACGTACGTTTCACGCCATTCATAAAAATATGGATTCTGAGGACGAAATAGTTTTCTTTGTGGGACGTGGCTTGTGACGTCCAAAAATAAATAAAAAAACAAGACAAAGGACATGGCAAAGAGAATGGCTGAAAAGCAGAGAAAACCATGGACTTTCTGTTCTTCATAAAGAACTCGAGGGAGTAGGCCATTTCTGAATTTCTGCTCGTTTTGCCGGAAATACAACAGGCATATTCATTCATAAAGCTGAACGGCAAATTTGGCACATTCGGGATAACAAATACAAAATAGAACTGTATAATTAAACTAAAATGATTATAGACTATATGGTTTTTGTCATCTTCTGATTGGTCAACTTCAGATGTATTGCCAAATCGTCTCGTTCAACCGTACATACGAATTTAAACTGACAGCATCCGATTTTTTTTGACATGTTTGAAAATTATCGGGAGGTGCTCGTAACGTCTCAGATCGGCCCATAATTCTTCTCACACGGTACGAGCATCAGCGATTTTCTCCCGAGGAAAATAATAAATAAATAAATAAATCGCCTGCGAGCTCGTACGACAGCAAAAATCGCACCGCGTACGCCCGCCTTTACGGAAGCCCGGCCCGGATTAATCAGATCAAAGCAGGAAAATAGGCCTACTCTTTGACTCACCAGAGAACACGGGGAACATATTTTGGACTCAGTGCGTTTAATGGTTAGTTAAACTGTAGATTTAAAAGTTTTAGAGGTATTCATAAAGCTAAATCTAAAACTTTAAGGAGCATATGGGAATGCTAGGAAACTTTTAGAAAAAGAAAGATATTGTTTAAGAGTGGTTAAGTAAATGAGTAAATAAAAATAAATTTAACACTACAGTATTATGAGTAGTGTAGGTAGTGTGTGTGTGTAAAAAAAAATTAAGTGTAAAATTAGTAAATTACTAAATTATGTAACTATACAGTACTATGAACAGAAATGGAAAAAAATTTGATTAAAACTAAATATTTAAAAATTTGCCTTTCAGATTTTAGAATGGGGTTCCTTGCATGAAGATGGTCATATTTGTGGCTTCGCTGCATATAAACCTGAAGAAAAAAAACCAGAGTCCTATATCATATAGTCGATTTCCTAACTGTTTACAAAACGTGTGGAAAATAATTAGGCAAGAAATGTGCCATGCATTTAGAACTTGAGTGAGAACACTGAACACACTGTAAATAATCATTATGAATGAATATATTTTAATTTCTAGTCGTTGACGGTGGTCAAGTTTTGCTTCACAAAATATTAGAGAACAGCAAATAAACAGAAAAAATTCTTGACCGCGTTCAGATATACATAAAGAGAGAGGGGGAAAACAATTCACATCATTGTTAATAAAAAAAATGTTTAATGTACTTTAAATTTACAACAACAAAAAAAAACGAAACAAGTGCTGTCAAACACAGTGTCAAAAAGCACGAACGAATCTGAAACATCAACAACGAGCGAACATATCTATGATCCACTCATATGCATGTCTTCCTGCATGTCATCACCGTCTGGGTTGTGTCCCTCCGCTCCCTGCATGTCCTCATACATGGGCACAGACTCCTGCATCTCCTCCTGGACCTCCTCCTCTTCCTCCACCATGTCACATGCTCCTGAAAAAGACAAACACAAGACATGTGAGAAGCTTAATCCTCATAAGGAAACCAAATATGTCCCATTGCTTATTAAAATGCTGTTTGATTGAACAAAATGCCAGAGATGCAAACAGGTGAGGGGGGAAAAAAGGTGAGAGCATTGCACGGATCGAGGGCATGCTCCACAGAGTTTCTATTAAAGATATTTGCTTTACATGCTCATTTGTAGTTACGTTAACGTATTTTTAAAAATATTTTTTTATTATGCAGGTCCAAAACTCTAAATGTAACTGTAAAAAAAAAAAAATTAACATCTTGCAACATTTTACAAAAATCAAGATTGAATATATTTGGTCAAAATCCCATGTTATAAAAGATGAAATGCTATGCAGGCTATTTAAGACAATATTTTCTGATTAGACAGCAATGCTGACCCAAAATGCTAACTGTTTGCCCTCTCTCTTTTCACCGTTCCCACATCTCGGACCTCAAATACATAAAATATTACCCTTTATAGACATGAAGTTTTTGAAGTAAAGAGTAAATAAAACACTATGCAAAACTTACTGAAACAATCAGGGGCCGGATTCACAAAAATCGTCTCAGGTTACTTATGTAACCATGGTTCCCTGAGTAGGGAACGAGACACTGCGTCCTCTAGGTTTCCCCATAGCGACCCCTAGAGGACGCAGTTCGAAGTTCCCATGAAAGGGAATGTCTCAGGTTACTTATGAAACCATGGTTCCCTGAGACACTGCGTCCTCTAGGTTTCCCCATAGCGACCCCTAGAGGACGCAGTTCGAAGTTCCCATGAAAGGGAACTTAAGAAATAAGTTAAGAATTTCTTAAGATAAATTCCACGAAGTTCGTAAGAATGTTCTTAAGTGCAATTCTTGAAAAATTCTTAAGTTCTCAAATATATTCTTAAGAACATCTTAATTTTTTTCTTAAGAAAAAAATGAGTCTTTATCTGAGTGAATACATGACGCACTGATAAACTCACACTTTGTCTTTTTGCGTTTCCTGCAGATTACCCTAATAATTATAATAAGCACACACACTATTTTTGTGGCGACTTTGACTGGCACTCAGCTTCACGTTTTTAATGCGGCATGTTTTTGAACAGTTACTTTTAAATAGCCTGTCTCAAGCTGCAGAGATATGTTTTTTGTGTTGTGTTTTTGCGCTCTCATCTGAGTGAACGCTTCCGGTATGCGTGTTTGCGCTTCTACAGCAAACGCGTCCTGCACATTCATGTGCGCTGAATACTGCCAAAGATTGTCGTATATATAAGCTAAAAGCATTCAATTAAAACTGACTATCTGACTCGTTTTAGAGTTTCTACTGAGTTTTGAAGTCATCAAAAAGTAGCGTCACATAGGCCAATCATGACCGATCATTGTTTACACTATCAGTCATCGCTGTCACTTCAGAAAACTCCCTATTAATAGTCCTGCGACTTATATGTAGCTAGTGTTGTTGTAATGCTTAAATATAACAATTCATTTGAAATAACCCAATAAATTCATTAAATAATTCTTACTTTTTGGGATTTAAGACAAGTCTGGGGCGGTCTTAAATTTAAGAAGTTATTTACAATGATTTTTAAGAAGCTTCTAATCAAGAATTTGAATTCTTCTTAAGTTTTGTCTTAAGAACAATCTTAAGAAAAAATATAAGAATATTCTTAATTAGAATTTTTGGGAATACAAAATATTCTTAACTTTTTTTCTTAAGTTAAAAAAATAAGAAAATGGCAGTTGAGAAGAAATTTCTTCTTAAGAATGTTTTGTGAATCCAGCCCCAGTTCTTTATTTACCCTTGTAAGATCACAAGTACCCCCCTCATAAAAACACTTTCTCACTGTATCTAAGCAGCTCTCATAGGTGACCTATTTTGATCTGAAAAAAGTGAGTTGTCACTGAAAGGTGAGGAGTTTGCATCCATGATTTTCAGAAAAGCCTCAGTCTGAGACTCAAGTGAGCGGTAGCACTTTATTTTACAGTCCTGTTTCTCATGTACATACTATGTACTTATTATAGTAATTGCAATAACTAGGTACTAACCCTGAACCTAACCCGACCCCATGTAGTATATTACCAGTACTTTCTTCGGTAAGTACACTGTAAGTACTTGTATGTACACGTACTGTAAAATAAAATGCAACCTCGTGAGCTATACATTTTATTTGAAAGTAGTTCACTGCATCAGGGTTACGAATTTCATCTAAACTGAGCTACACACAGGGTTCCCACTAATAAACTTCCATCACTTTTCCCATCATTTGTGATTACTGAATAATAGGTTTATGTATAAGTGCATATTAAAAGTAATACCTGATCTCAGCTCTCGTCCCGGGATCTGTCCGGACTGCAGGAGTCCCTTCAGCCGCTCAACTTCAGCCAGCGACGTGGCATTAGCAATAGCATTCTGCACGCAAACAACATAAGTGACACAATTTTATATGAGTTACACAATAAACTGACATTTGAGTACAAGAAACTAATACTTTTATTCAGCAAGCATGCATTAAACAGATCAAAAGTGACAGTAAAGACATTTATAATGTTACAAACAATCTCCTGTTCTTTCGAATACTTTATTCATCAAAACATCCTGAATAAAAATGTATCAGGTTTCCACAAAATTATGAAGCAGCACAACTGTTTTCAACATTGATAATAATGATAATAAATGTTTCTTGAGCAGCAAATCAGCATATTAGTATGATTTCTGAAGGATCATGTGACACTGAAGACTGGAGTAATGATGCTGAAAATTCAGCTTTGATCACAGCAATAAATTACAATTTAAAATATAGTCAAATAGAAAACATTTTAAAATGAAACGTTTACACAATATTACTGTTTTTACTATTTTTTTAATAGAGAAAGCAGCTTTGTTAAGCATAAGACTTCTTTAAAATAAAAAAATATATATGAAAAATAAATATCTAAAAAAAATACTCACATATATTGTGTATATTTAGTAAGTATATTAACATTATAGAATATATTTTAGTATATAACAGAATATATATTATATTCTATAATTTAAAAATCCTAATGTACGTGTAGAACATATAATGTATGAACACACACAGGATTTTTATACTATAGAATATAGATATATTCCAAAAATATATTTAAAGTGGAATCTCTTGAGTGTTAATATATGCATGTACGTATGTATATTATATAAATGTCTAACGATACGATGCACCGATGCCACGCGTAAAATATCGATACCTGTAGTATAAATAGGCACCTTGTTTTGTGGCACTGTCCTTAATTTTCACAATGCATTACCGCCAATGATTTTAACAGCTTTATTTTTATGACTTTTCTAATATTTATTTTTCAACATTAACATTTTTTTTGTACAACTGGAGTACCACGTTTGTGTTTTTTCCTAATGAGGATTTATGCTAATTTTACACATCGCACATTTTAGCACAGAAGCCTGAACGATTTTCATCTGTTGTCATGTCATAAGACAACTGATCTTATGTGTGACATTGATTATTTTTATTCAATTATTTATGTCTTTATTATTAAAAAAAAAAAAAAAAAAGTTTAGGCCTATTTTTCATTGTGAATGTCCCAATTGAAGTACAGGACGTGGGAATTTCAGATAAATGTTCAAGTTATATATTTTGGTTGCATTTGGGAGTTAATAAAAATGTAGATTGATATATTCTGTAAAACTCTGTAAAAATGTAGATTATCATATCGTAGAATTTTTTGAGGTATCTGCAAATATCATATCGCCGGGTATGAGAATCTATATCGTATCGTTACGAACCCTCCCATTTACACCCCTAATATATACAGTGGGTACGGAAAGTATTCAGACCACCTTAAATTTTTCACTCTTTGTTATATTGCAGCCATTTGCTAAAATCATTTAAGTAATTTTTTTTCCTCATTAATGTACACACAGCACCCCATATTGACAGAAAAACACAGAATTGTTGACATTTTTGCAGATTTATTAAAAAAGAAAAACTGAAATATCACATGGTCCTAAGTATTCAGACCCTTTGCTGTGACACTCATATATTTAACTCAGGGGCTGTCCATTTCTTCTGATCAGCCTTGAGATGGTTCTACACCTTAAGTTGAGTCCAGCTGTGTTTGATTATACTGATTGGACTTGATTAGGAAAACCACACACCTGTCTATATAAGACCTTACAGCTCACAGTGCAAGTCTGAGCAAATGAGAATCATGAGGTCAAAAGAACTGCCTGAAGAGCTCAGAGACAGAATTGTGGCAAGGCACAGATCTGGCCAAGGTTACAAAAAAAATGTCTGCTGCACTTAAGGTTCCCAAGAGCACAGTGGCCTCCATTCCTTAAATGGAAGACGTTTGGGACCACCAGACCCCTTCCGAGAGCTGGCTGTCCGGACAAACTGAGCTATCGGGGGAGAAGAGCCTTGGTGAGAGAGGTAAAGAAGAACCCAAAGATCACTGTGGCTGAGCACCTGAGATGCAGTCGGGAGATGGGAGAAAGTTGTAGAAAGTCAACCATCACTGCAGCCCTCCACCAGTCGGGGCTTTATGGCAGAGTGGCCCGACGGAAGCCTCTCCTCAGTGCAAGACACATGAAAAAACACCTGAAGGACTCCAAGATGGTGAGAAATAAGATTCTCTGGTCGGATGAGGCCAAGATAGAACTTTTTGGCCTTAATTCTAAGCGGTATGTGTGGAGAAAACCAGGCACTGCTCATCACCTGTCCAATACAGTCCCAACAGTGAAGCATGGTGGTGGCAGCATCATGCTGTGGGGGTGTTTTTCAGCTGCAGGGACAGGACGACTGGTTGCAATCAAGGGAAAGATGAATGCGGCCAAGTACAGGGATATCCTAAACGAAAACCTTCTCCAGAGTGCTCAGGACCTCAGACTGGGCCAAAGGTTTACCTTCCAACAAGACAATGACCCTAAGCACACAGCTAAAATAACGAAGGAGTGGCTTCACAACAACTCTGTGACTGTTCTTGAATGGCCCAGCCAGAGCCCTGACTTAAACCAAATTGAGCAACTCTGGAGAGACCTAAAAATGGCTGTCCACCAACGTTTACCATCCAACCTGACAGAACTGGAGAGGATCTGCAAGGAAGAATGGCAGAGGATCCCCAAATCCAGATGTGAAAAACTTGTTGCATCGTGAAAAATTTAAGGGGTCTGAATACTTTCCGTACCCACTGTATACAGAGGTAAAGAGAGAGGTAAAGAAGAACCCAAAGATCACCGTGGCTGAGCTCCAGAGATGCAGTCAGGAGATGGGAGAAAGTTGTAGAAAGTCAACCATCACAGCAGCCCTCCACCAGTCGGGGCTTTATGGCAGAGTGGAAGCCGACGGAAGCCTCTCCTCAGTGCAAGACACATGAAAGCCCGCATGGAGTTGTGAGATGGTGAGAAATAAGATTCTCTGGTCTGATGAGACCAAGATAGAACTTTTTGGCCTTAATTCTAAGCGGTATGTGTGGAGAAAACCAGGCACTGCTCATCACCTGTCCAATACAGTCTCAACAGTGAAGCATGGTGGTGGCAGCATCATGCTGTGGGGGTGTTTTTCAGCTGCAGGGACAGGACGACTGGTTGCAATTGAGGGAAAGATGAATGCGGCCAAGTACAGGGATATCCTGGACGGAAACCTTCTCCAGAGTGCTCAGGACCTCAGACTGGGCCGAAGGTTTACCTTCCAACAAGACAATGACCCTAAGCACACAGCTAAAATAACGAAGGAGTGGTTTCACAACAACTCTGTGACTGTTCTTGAATGGCCCAGCCAGAGCCCTAACTTAAACCCAATTGTGCATTTCTGGAGAGACCTAAAAATGGCTGTCCATCAACGTTTACCATCCAACCTGCCAGAACTGGAGAGGCTCTGCAAGGAGGAATGGCAGAGGATCCCCAAGTCCAGGTGTGAAAAACTTGTTGCATCTTTCCCAAAAAGACTCATGGCTGTATTAGATCAAAAGGGTGCTTCTACTAAATACTGAGCAAAGGGTCTGAATACTTAGGACCATGTGATATTTCAGTTTTTCTTTTTTAATAAATCTGCAAAAATGTCAACAATTCTGTGTTTTTCTGTCAATATGGGGTGCTGTGTGTACATTAATGAGGAAAAAAATTGAACTTAAATGATTTTAGCAAATGGCTGCAATATAACAAAGAGTGAAAAATTTAAGGGGGTCTGAATACTTTCCGTACCCACTGTATGTGACCTGGAGCATAAAAACTATTTCTTAAGTCGCTGGGGTATATTTGTAGCAATAGCCAAAAAACATTGTATGGGTTAAAATTATCAATTTTTCTTTTATGCCAAAAATCATTAGGATATTAAGTAAAGATCATGTTCCATGAAGATATTTTGTAAGTTTCCTACTGTAAATATATCAAAGCTTTAATTTTTGATTAGTAATATGCATTGCTAAGAACTTCATTTGGACAACTTTAAAGGTGATTTTCTCAATATTTGTATTTTTTTTGCACCCTTAGATTCTAGATTCTCAAATAGTTGTATCTCAGCCAAATATTGTCCTATCCTAACAAACGCTTATCTATTCAGCTTCCAGATGATGCATAAATCTCAATTTCAAAAAATTGACCCTTATGACCGGTTTTGTGCTCCAGGGTCACATAAGCATGTTAATTCAGTTCTTCCGTACCTTGATGGCTTCAACATCTGCAGCCGATGGCCCAGTTTTCTTCTCAGTCTGAAGTGCTGCTCCTGGAGTAAACCTGAGAGCAAGAGAAGACATTCGGTGTTCAGACAATGTAACCGCGTTTACATGCCTCTGCAGCCCTTCGACCGTTGTTCCCACAATCAGAGTGTAGTATCTGGAGTATCTTATCAATGTGAATAAACTGATACGAGACAGAAAAGCCTTGAGCCAGCTCCCCTGAGAAACACTGCTGAAGTTTGACATGGACATTTAGGTTAACAGCCAATTCAGAGTCAGCTTTCATTCTCCGAGCTGTCGGCTTCAGAACTTCCAGTCCAGTAATTCGGGGGAGCTGTGCTTGTTCAAGGAGTTTCATCTTACGTTTTGGTTTGCTTGGCAATATCCTTTGCAAGCTGAGCACCTCGTTTGCCTCTGAACATTTTTTCAGCCTCCTGCCGTTCCTACAGTGATACATCAGAGAGTTAAAGCAGACGTTCACAACAGACCACGGCCCCGTTCTTCATACTTCAGTATTGAATGATCTCAACCCAACCGATTCAGTCCACATGTGCATTTCAAAAACGAATGATCACTATAACATCAGATGTACTGCACAAAGTATGAAGAACAGGGCCCAGAACATTGACACTACCGTGATAAGCAGAAAACAAAATGTTAAGAGAAGAATCTTCCAGAAACAATCTGTCCAAAGGAAGCAGTGTGCATTATCAAATAGTCTGTTTTGTCAATTGTTAAATAACAAATTCAGTATAAAAATATAAGTAAATAACCACACCAATATTTAAGTCACATTGCAGAAGCGTAAAGTAAAATGTATTTGCATCGTACAATATTTAACAAGATTAATATCTCCTTCACCGATACTGACCAACACATGCTCTCTATTATTTATTCTAAATAGATAAGCATTAGACATTTTAGCAGAAATAATCTTCTAAAACTAAACAGTCCTAAATGTGAACAAAAACATGAACCGCTCATAAAACTATTTATTTTGTCCCCGTGACATTTGTTTATTAAACTTCTTGAAAGGTTTAAGTCTCCTTTGCTCACCAAGGCTGCATTTATTTGATCAAAATACAGTAATATTGTGAAATATTACAATTTCAATTAACTATTTTCTATGTGAATATATTTTAAAATGTAATTTATTTCTGTGATGCAAAGCTGAATTTTCAAAAACAGAAGTGGGAAACTAGAGAGAAATACTAAATGAACTCAACGGTAGGCCTTAAACAAGAACAGATCCCTCATTAGTCCAGCAGAGTGCAGCACAGTCCTGCTAGTCTAAGCCAGTTTCTCCTGTTCCTCATTTAAATGTGTTGAAGTTGTATAAAATAAACTGTCAGTGTGTAAAAGAAAACCACAGATGGTG